GGAGCCCTAAGCCCCAGCTGGCCAGAAACTCAGGTATAGTTTTCAGTTTATACACTGGGATTGTACAGTGTTTTACAGATTGTATGCACAGAGCTCTTAAAGGTCGTGGAAGTAACTTTGCAACCCTTTGCTGCTTTTGCTTATCTCTATATTTTCTTACATGCCGCCTTTAGTATCTCCTCAACCTTGTTCCTCTAACTATGTATTTGCGTACTGCAAGTTTGTTCATAATTTACTGTAGGGTGATCTATGCAGTCTTCAGCGTGTTATAATGATAAATTTCAAGATAAAAGTGCTATAGAGGTTGCTAAAATGCAGGATCAGCTGCATCAGTTGGTAGCACAGGGCCAAGAATACTCAAGGAATTTATTTGCTGCTGCTTTACTTGATTTGCTACTCACTAGGTGCAGCAACATGAAGTATCTCTTAAGTGGTTTTGAATTTTTATGATTCAAAGAATTCCCCACTGAGTTACTGCTTTGAGCAGAGTTCAGTTATCATAATATGTAATGTATCTTTAGGTTTGCTGCCTGAATAGTTCCAAGCTTACAAGGACTTTAAAATAAGAACAGAAAGGTTTTAGATAATTAAGAAACTTTACTTTGCTTGGAAATAGTGTGAGATACATGTTTGGAAATTAGAAATGTTCTGCTGTGGGAGTTTTAGCAGATATCATTGAGCAAGGTTTTAACTGCACTTCTAGGATGTATTTTGAATAGCTGCATTGAGGTAAAGGCACCTACTTATGAGACTTAAAAGTAAGGATTGATTTTAGTTCATCTTGGCTGGGAAATGCCTGTGCCTGGGTATGTCACACCCGTGAAGCTGATGATTCTGTTTGGTGGTGGCTGAAACTTCTGTAGTGCCTACAGCTGAGTTCCAGTGCTGCATAGTTTTGTGTGAAAAACCACAGGCTCCACTGTTTCCAATCTGCTATTAAGAGCTTTGATTTTCCAAGAGAGGAGAGGAGAGATATAGGTTGTATTTGTTTGCAGTCTATATTCAGTGCTTACTGGATTTGCTGCTCAAAGTAAAAGCTTTTATGCTTTTAAAAGAGGAAGTACACCCATTTCATTTGGTGGTGTTACTGATGGATTCAGTGCAAAACAATAGTGTTCTATAGTAAATTTTGCTCTATTTTCTTCTAAGAAGCATCTAAAAACCATTTCTTGTGAACAGCTTTACACTGTCAGCGAGTGTGCTCAGTTCTCCATTTCATTTAAGAACCTTTTCTTTCTAAAGGAGCACACACATCCCCATTACCAGTGCTTCCTTCACAGAAGAGCCTGGAGGAGTTGACTGCAAGATATAAACAGGGAATAATACACCCAGTGTCTGCCTTGCATCAGTTTGCCCAAATGCACCACATGTCAGTTGAATTGAAGGAAACTAGTCTGGCAGGTAAATACCACTTCTTTTCCTAGATAAAGAATTACATACTTATCCTGGAGATTATCTGGGTTCCTGCAGTTAGTATTGGTGGCACAAATACAGATGGATTTTTTTACTGTTGCTTGCATTACCCTCCACCTGTGTTACTTTTTGGCTGCCATCGTGTTATCTTATACAGCTGTGTCTCATGATGAAGTGCTACAGGATTTGATCAGGTGACTTGGTATAGAATTATGGCTGCTGCCAGAACTTTGTGAACAGGCAACAAAAGCTGCCGAAATTTCCTGTGGCAGTGAAAGATTTGAGTTGTATTTTGCCAGAATTGTCTTTTTGTCTTGTATTTGTCCTTGGAATTAATATAAGGACATAAAGCCATGGATAAAAGGTAATCCCACTAATTGTGCCTGCTTTATTTCTTTTTTTCTGTCTTTAAAGGCAATATCATAAGGCCTTATTTTGCCTTTTGTGCTGTGGTAAATGATATTTCCTACAAGATTGGGCTGGGAAGTACCAAGAAGGAATCCAAAAAGAATGCAGCTAAATTTGCTCTTGCTCAGCTACTTAACTTGGAGAACCCAGGGGCAAAGCCTTCTGAAAATTCAGGTAAATCCTCTAGCAACAGTGGTAAAGTTTGGCTTAATGGTTTCCTATGCAAAACCTGTGTGTGGTTTCATTAAATGCTTCAGCTTCAGGGCCTATGTAAGGGGTTTTTAATCCTTTGGGCAGCGCTATGTGTTACTTGGTTCTGAAAATGGGTTTTTCCTTTGGCATTTGTCTGTTAGGAGCAGCATCAGTTGGTAGCACAGGGCCAAGAATACTCAAGGAATTTATTTGCTGCTGCTTTACTTGATTTGCTACTCACTAGGTGCAGCACCATGAAGTACCTCTTAAGTGGTTTTGAATTTTTATGATTCAAGGAGTTCCCCACTGAGTTACTGCTTTGAGCAGAGTTCAGTTACCATAATACTTATCTTTTCTCAAGGTTTGCTGCCGGAATAATTCCAAGCTTACAAGGACTTTAAAATCAGAACAGAAAATTTTTAGATAATTAAGAAACTTTACTTTGCTTGGAAATAGCGTGAGATACATGTTTGGAAATTAGAAATGTCCATCCAAATGTAAAATTTATTAAATTCTTAGATTTTCCCTGTGTTCCTGCCAGCCTTCATACTCCAGCAATCTCTGCTTGTGCTTCAAGGACCTGTATTGGTAAGGAGCAATCTTGTTTTTCTCTGTTGATTCAAACTATCCAGCAAGTGCTTTTTTCATCCGTTTTGTTTTTAAATTTTAATCCTTTGTTGTTGCTGTTGTTTTAAGCATTATCTCTTTGAAGAATGCTCTAAGAATTAGTGTCACTAAGGTAGAAGATTGACCATTGGTTCTACAAATAGCCACAACCTCAGTAAATTCCTTGACTTTAAGTGAACTAGTGACAGATGGAAACAGTCTTTCTGTCCTCACTTGAACTAGTGTGATCAAACTTGATCCATATCCTGGTTGATTAAAATGAGTAATAGAAGCATCAAGTATTTAGGTATTCTTGAACTGGTTTTAAACTTCAGAGTCCCAGGAGTGTGTTGTAGCATGTGTTTTGGCTTTATAATTTGGCAAATGGTTGATCATGTCTGTTTTTTTCCCCTACCTGCACATTTGTGTGTTGCTATTACTGTTTTATTTAGAAGGAGGACAGCTGCACGTATATCAAAAGTTTTCACAAACACTTGAAGAAGTATTTAACAGCCTGATTGCCAAACACCCTGAGTACCAAGGCTGTGGCAGTTCTCTGGCTGCTTTCATCATTGAAAAAGGCAAGTCTGTAGTGAGGGGGAGTTGTGGGGAGTGGCAAACCTGGACTGGTTGTGTTCCCACAGAGCTTTGGGAGTGTGGGCACCTCGCAGCCAGACCAGGTGAACACACCACAGTCTCGTAAAACGAAGTGTTTTCTTTTGAAAAGGTGGACAGCATGAAGTGGTAGCTCTGGGAACGGGAGACTGTAATTACAGCCGGCTCTCGGAACCGTGTGGCAGAGTGGTGCATGACAGCCATGCCATTGTCACTGCCAGGCGCTCCCTGCTTCGGTGAGAGTGTGGCTGCGAATCATTCCCTTGCAGCCACTTCTTCCCAGCTTTACTTTTGCACTTGAGTTTTACCTTCTGGATTATTTTCAAGTCATGTGAATATCTATGGTTTAGTAACCCAAGCAATGTTCTTCACATTTACCATTGCACTTTCTTTTAGGTATTTGTATAGACATCTTTTGCTGTTTTATGATAAAAACCCAGCAAAGACAGAGAGATCCATATTTTACACAGCCCCAGGCTCGAAGCTGCTTACCCTAAAGCAAAATACAACTCTGTCCCTCTACATGAACCAGCTGCCCAAAGGAACTGCTCAGTTGAAGTCAGAGCTGTAAGTACTGTGGTATTTTCAGAGATGTTTTAGTAGAAGAGTAATTTGTTTGCAGTGACAAACACATTGTGAATGAGGAAATTGTTACACATTTCTCAGATGGGGGAATCTTCTAATTTTTTTTTCGTTTTCATGCTTTGGGAACAGTAATGTACAGGGTAGTAGTGATAAATGTATGAGATTAAGCTCAACATGATGGTACAAAAATTTCTCTGTGAGTTGTAGCTGCAGGATGAGGTTCTGTTTAATTACCTGTTAACCCCCCTCCCAAGACACTAATAAAATACTAATAAATACTAATTTAACCACTGAGCAAGTGGATGTGATGACTTAATGTCATCCTTTGCACCACAAGATGAGCATACAAAAGGCCTTGAATTGAAAGAAAAGGCTCCTGTGTAGATAAAAGATAATGAAAGAAACTTGATGGGGCAAATACACTCCTGTACTTAGCTTTACACTTTTAATTTCTGTTAAATTTCTGAAAGTTGGGGGGGGGGGCTTGAGTAGTTTTGACATTTAACAGCATCAATCACTGCTTTACCAATTTATGAATGTTGTTTTGTGTCCCTTATATCAGTACAGGGGAATAATGTCACACCATAACTTTTCCATACATAAAAGACACATAACTTGCAACCTTGGAGAGTTAGCTCAAAGCTCTAGGCTTTAATTTCTTGCCCTTTTAGTTAAGGGGAAAAACTATGTTTTGCTTCAGAACAATCACCATTTTGTCTCCCTTATGCGTTGCCTCCCCTTGTTCTAAATATTTTGAAGAATCACAGTGTAAGTTATATTTGAAGGGATATTAATAACTTGACAGCTGCTTTTTCACAAGAGGAACAGCCTCCAAGTAACTTTTGTCATAGTTTAAGTAGACACCAAGTGATGCTTTTTGGCAGCATTGATCTTTTTTAATGCGTGCACGACTGATGGCTAGGATTAGGTTGAATTGCTGTTTCCTATTTAAATACTGATCTCAGTTTTGTGAGCACTTAAGCAGCTGAATCTGGTGTTTCTAAAAGTTACAAACATTGAATATAATGTAAGGCCCTGATGTATGATAGGTTTTTTCCTCGTATTAGATACCACTTTGCAGTAATCTCTGATCACAGTGCTTTCTCACTGGAATCTATTCTCTTGTCTTACTGTAGACATCTCAGTCCACAATCTCTACCTGCTTATGAAGCCAGTGAAGACCTGAGTCTCCATGTTGCTATAGATGGCAGGATTTACCTGGCTGTTTGTTGTTCATCGAAAACTGTCAGAGTGAAGAGCATGTCAGCTAGTGACAAGCTGACAAAATGGGAAGTGGTTGGTGTTCAGGGAGCATTGTTGAGTCACTTCATTGAGCCAGTGTATATCAAGAATATTCTTGTGGGTAAGTTCCCCTGTTCTACTTTGATTACATTTTATACAGCATCACCTAAACCAAGATGATTCTTAAAAGAATTACAGTGTTTTTCTGAAAAGGTGCTGAGTGTGTATATATTTTTTCCTGTCATCTTTGAGATGCCCTAATGTAAAACTCAGTCATTGTGGGTTTCTTCTAGCTTGCCACATTGCCAGCCCTTCCTTCAGTATGTATTGGAGTAACAGAAGAAATTCAGCATTGTTTTCTAACAAATCACATTTTATCTTGAGGAAATACCAAGTGTGACAAATGCTGTGTTAACTCTTAAGTCAGATATATGGTGACTTTAAGGTAACAGTGTTAGTCATTTAACTGTGGAATTGAGCAGTGGTGGAAAACCTGCCAGGATTTAACTGAAAATGCTCTGTTACACCCTGGGGTATCTTAGGAGCTCTTCTGGAAAGTGTTGGTTACGTTAAATGCCGTCTCAGTTTTCTGCACCCTCCTTGCCTCCCTCCCTGCCCCACTTTGTCTTTGTTATGCAAACAGATGGTTTGTTGAAGGATACCAAGGTGATAGTGAATTCTCAGGACGTTGTAGCAGTCAGGCAGACCATACTGTTTATCACAACTCACTTCAGTAGCTTTTATTTATGTGATGGAATTAAATTCATTAATGAGTGTTATTCTGAACGTTTTCAGCCATTTCTTCCTCTCAGGATTTGTATTATGAGACTTAGTACACAGGTGTCTGAGTTTCCCAGGCATTGAAGATGGAGCAGCTTTTCCTTTTCTAAACCAGAACAAGGTTTTTGAAGTGCAAGAAGTAGTGAATGTCTGCTGGTTCATTTTGAGGAAGTTGGGCCACTTAAAAGCAATAGGAAAACTTCCAATATGCTCATTTAAGTAGTATTCAAAGTGAACATAATAATCTATAATGTGTTGCCCTTATAATGGAAATTCTGACCCTTCTTTGAGATGCAGTTGGCCAAAGTGTATTTATTTAGTAGGCAGTCAGAAATGCTGTTGTATGTGGAGTAATGTGAGCAAACTCCCTAGCATATTTTCTAATCTGGACTGTCAGAGGTATAGCTTGGTGGTGTCTTCTGCAGGAAACATTAAAGAGTTGATGAAAAATAACTGTTCAAAAAAGAAGGCATTCAATGAAAGTAATGATAACTGTGGAGATTAAAACGTGATTTCACACTTGTTCTGCAAATTGAATATTGGAACTGATCTGCTGATCTTTCCGAATGTTAGTTTTATGTGGAAAAATTACTATTATAAAGTATAGTCTATGAATGAATAACACATCTGCATTCTTAGCTTTCTTTTTAAATTTGATGTACTTATGTGTGACTGATCCTGTTCTGTCTAATAGGAGATGGAAATTGTAAGGATACAAGAGGACTAGAAATAACTATAAAGCAGCGTCTCGATGATGAACTGACATCAAAGCTTCCCATGCCTTACGTGGTCAACAGATCTCATATTTACTTGGTGAAAGCTGCACATCCAGTTGAAACAGATTTAAACCAGAGGAATCTTAGCTTGAACTGGGCATTGTCAGATGCAACCCTGGAGGTTGTGAATGTTGTAAATGGAAGAACCTCTGAAAGGTTAGGACTTTTCTTCATTTTGCTGGAAATAACAGTTAGCCTTATTGTTTTGTGCTGGTTCATTGGAGTAATGATCAAAGGAATACACCTGTAATGTATTTGCTGCTGAGTTTATAGCTCTCTTCTCGCTCTGCCTGCAGCTCCCCATTCAAGAGTGGCACTTACATGGCAAGTCGCCTCTGCAAGGCAGCAATGTTCAGTCGCTTCAAGGCGCTCGCCAGGGAAGCAGGACGCAGTGATTTGCTCGACATGGCAACATACCGTGGAGCTAAGGTGAGTGCTGCAAGGAGGGGGGTTGGAGTAAGGGCTCTCCTAGTGGCTACTCTCAGAGCTTAGTGGGTAGCCAGGGGTGACTTGCTGTTTTGCTGAAGGCTTTACCTGAACAGCTTGTTTCAAGTAGCTGTCTTCCTTTCCTCCTGTCAAAATGTGCAAGAGGTCTTTTTGCTTAAGTGATTCAAAAACTGCTTTAAACCAAAATCACTTGTTCATTGACTGGTCATGTGTTTAGATTTGCATTGAATGATACTGAGTGTTTATTTTTTGTGTCAAGATATTGTTGAAACTGAAAGGACACTGAGAAAAAATAATGCTTAACAGAACAGTTTTCTCACCCCACTAAATGCCCAGACATGTAAAAGGAGTATGTTTTCAGTCTATAACACTTTGTCTCACTGTCAGCAGCTGAGAAAACTGTGAGATTTGTAGGTATTATTTTCTACAAAGTTTGTGCTTCTGCATACTACATTCATATGTATACAAATAATATTACATATTATAATATGTAATTATATGCCTATTATATATAAAGGACACAGATCTCTGTAGCCATAATTATTGAGATTATTCAAGGTCTTCCTTTTTTTGGTTGGTTTCTCTTTTTTTTTTTTTTTTTAGATTGAATCTCAGTTGTACCAAGAAGCTAAATCGTTGCTGCAGACAAAATTAGAGGAGCACGGTTATGGGTCCTGGATTATGAAGTCTCCACATATTGAGCAGTTCAGTGACTGACTGTGAGGCAGATGATCTGTTTCAGTAAAATGCAGTTCTGATTACTAAAATGTTTAACCGTAGGTTCATATTTGCAGCAAGAAAATAATACAGAGCTGCTCCTTGTCAGCTTAAATGCAATTATTAAATGATCTGTAACAGTTCAGCAGTTTCCAAAAGTTGATGTTTCCTCAAAGGAGTATGCAAGAGCTTTTAAATGTGTTCTGCTTTGCCCTCCCATGCCACCTCATTTGTGCTCCCTCATCCCTCCACCCCGTGGAGTTATTAACATTTCATTCCTGATAGTTTCATAGTTGCTACATATTGATCTCTGCCTTTTTCTTGACTTTAGAACAGAAGAAAAATTGGCAAAAGCTGGATTTCTTTTCAATCTGAGAATGCCAGAAACAAAAAAAGGGCAATCTGTACTTTATCTGTAGGTTTCCTTTGCTATTTGTATCAAGAGTTTTGTTCAGCCTGGATTTGCCAAGTGGTTTGTAGTTTACTATATATCATTTCTTGTATAAGAGTTAAAAAAATAATCTGTATTCTTTCAAATGTGAGGTTTACCAACTGTTACTCAGCTCTTTTGTGACAGTCACTCTGGTTTTGCTGGTGGGTTTAAAGAATTTCACAGGTGTCAAAGCTGTGAATAAGAAAATAATGTGATGTGGTACAGAAGTCACTAGAAACACAGTTTCTTCAGCTTTTCTGGACTGCCCCAAAGACCATCAACGTTAGTACTTGTGAATGAGTTGGACGACTCCACCCACAGAGACTTCACTGTATTGACCAGTCCTCAGAAAATTGTCTGCATGCATAGTAACCTGCCAAGTGTTTCCCTGTCAAGAGGGAAGTTGCTTCTTTGTAAGTTCTGATAAGAATATAGTAGCATTGTGATAGTGTTGAAAAGGATGTTGTAAAGTGCCATACTTGGCTTTTGTGTGGAGGTGTGAAATACTGATATGTTTTAGCTATATAAGACACTTGGATTATGTTACTTGATATTTGTAAATCTGGCAAGTGTGGGAAACTCTGAAGTTACGAAGTGTTTTCATACTTCAGTAATAGTGTAGTGTTGTAGTCATGTTTCAGCTTCTTATCGTTAGAGGATTCTAAAAATACCTGCTGGTATTTTTTTTCCTTAATCTGTTTTGTTTTCTGTGTACTATGTAGAATCTTTTCTGGGCATGATCTTGTGCTTCTTTCCAAGTTGTTGAACTCAGTGACTTGTTAATACTCAGTCCTTGACTTCTTGCTGCTCTGCTCGTCTGTTTTGTTAGTGTTTCTTAACTTGGAGGGTGTTCGTGATTTTTTGTGGCATTTGCTCTGGGTAATGTTTTCTTTCTAAGAATACTTGAGAATGGCCATTGTATTCCAGGCTGGAGTGGAGTGTTGCCTTTTTTTCAGAAGTGTTAAAAGTTCAATAAATTTCCTTGACAAGTGTTTGCTATACCTACATATACATGCTACAAGTGGCATACATGTCATAGCTGATGTATGTGTAACATCCCACATTCTGTACACTGCTGGACTCTGGGCTTAGACTTTAGCTATCAGCACCAAGCTACTTCCTGTAGCTAAGGTAGAAGCCTTAAGTACAAGTACTGAGCTTTTTTTTGTGTCCTTCAGCCGTGTTTTTAATTGAGCAGCAAACTGAAACTTGTGTGGAACTTAGGTGCCTTCTTAGGAAGAGAGAGGTTTGGTTGTCAAAATGGTCTGGTGGCCTGGACATGATAGCTGTGTGCTTGGGAAATTGATTTGACACCAGTATGGATCCAGTGCTTGTAGATGGATACAGCATATGCAGAATGCACTGAGCTAGTAAATGAAGCAGGTAGGTGTTGTGTCCAGGTTTTTCCTCAGCTGCTTCAGTAATTTTAAAACGTATTATCCTACAAGCTTGAGACAGAAAGGAGTGCTTCAGCTCCAGTAATGAGGCTGAAGATTTATTCCCAACAGGTACATGCACACAGAGGAGGTATGCATCATACACATGTGAGCATGAACAGCACCAGCAGCCTCCTGTTGAGGGCTCAGCTTCTCCCCTCCCTGCTTGAGAAGAATTGAGGTCCAGGGGTGAAAATTAATGTACATATGTGTATGTGGTGGGGGTGGTGTGTGTGTGTGTGTGTACTCATTCTTTACATACATATACAGATGCACCTGCTGCACCTGTACACGACTCAAGTGTCATGAGTGACACACATCAAATGTGATGTACATGTAGCGTGCCCTACTTGTTGAATCTGACATCCATGCCACATGGATCATGTGTCACATATCACGTCCATGTCTTGCATCTTGTGTTGCATGTGGCACATGTCTCACATGTCACATCACATGGGTGTCATGTGCATAACATCATGTCACACATCATTTGTCATGTCATACCATGTCGCAGACTTCATACTGTCACAGTCATGGCACATGTCATGCATTTTAATTTTATACCTAAGCTGTGTGATCAAGCAGGAGAAGAAAGCTCAAGGAAATGATTTTTGTAAGTATTGCAAGGGGTTCTGCAGAGGTTTGTTTACAACTTACAGGGAAAGGCATATATAGTAAAGTTCACCTTGCTATGCATTTTCAGATGCTTTTAATATAACATTTTTCTTTTAAAGACATCTCTTAAAGCTTGGGCAAATACAAGAGCTGATCATGCAGCTACTGTTTAAGTACACGAACTTAGCTATAGTGACCTGTAAATCTGAGACAAAAACTACTACAGCCATGTGCAACACAAGCAACTTCCTCATGACTCAGGTACCTGTATGCATCACAATTCTTTATGCAAGTATTTCTCTGAAAAGATGTCTTGAAGTGCTTTTTGGAGATCTGCATGGGAGGGCAAGTGCCAGCCTGAAAATGTTTGGGAAATCCACAGGAGAGCATGGCTGCTGTGCTAAAGTAATGTGTCAATCCCCAGAACTAGGGCCTGGACAGCCCAAGCCTCTGCTTTGCTTGACTGTAAACCTGCAGCTGTCTCAGAACATTGCAGCCCTACTCCAAAGCAGTTTGTGCACACCAAAAGCAAAAAAATGTGTATGTATTTTCACACTGTGGCTGTGAAATTGTTAGCTACAGCTCCTGCTTTCCTTATGAATGCATGGGTGAGTATCTCTTTGCCATCATTTCCTGCTTTCTGAAGTATTTGGCTGTTCCTACCTTACTCAACACTTACTGTTTAGAAGCTGTCTTGGTTATTCCACATGGGATGCCCAGCTGCATGGTTTGACCACAGGCTAAGTTTTACCAACTTGTCCAAGTTGAGGGTTCCTGTGCTTAAGGAAATGCTGAAGGAGTGTCAATTACTAGCAGAACTGTGTTCAAAGAAAACTGCTCCTGCACCCTCTGAGGTTGCTGAGAGCTGGGGCTGCAATGCAGACAAACGTCTGGCCTGAGACTGGAACTTTGTGGGATGCTGTTACTTCGGGGTGCAGATTTTTGCGGTAGATTAGAGGCTTTACATGCAATTGATTCCAAAAGCTATAATGTTCACCAAGTGACCCAGTGACTGAAGGGGGTGACATAATAATCTAAACCCACACCACTGTAGCTGACTTATATTATGTTCTTACAGCTGGAAATCTATTAATTACTAGTCTTAAATCATAAACTGTACATTTATTACTGAACTATATTTCTATTCCTTCCCTAATACTTAACACTAGAGTGCAAGTCAACACCTCTTGGATCAGCTTCCAACTAAATCAGACCTGATGGGGGGGTCCAGCAGGTGTGTTCAGAGGAGTCTCTGGATTTGGCTCTGCAGGTCAGTGCCACTGCTAGGTGATCTCAGCCTCACTCGGTTTGATTGTTGTGGTCACTCACTGTGGGTGGTGGTGCAAGATTCTGCACTCTAGCCTCCACAGGTGGCAGTACTAGCCAGAAGTCACTAGTGTTCAGGCAGTTCTTACAGATGTTTTTAGAACTGGTTTTTCTTTTTGTCATAGGCTCAGTGCTTTCTGTGTCTGTAGATACTGTCTCACTTTGTTTAAAAGAGAGATTTTTTTTCATTCTTTTATGCTGCTTTTAAGAATTTGCTAAGTAAGGAATATGTGTAAAGAGGAATCTGAATTTACAGGGATTTGACTGGAAAGAGATCTTATGAATAAATGTCTCTTTTCTTGTCTGTGTCCTGCTGTGTTCAGGTGTTTCTGTTATTACAGGCTGTCACTTGGAAAGCATCTGATTTGAGAAGAGGGTGGAGCTTATTTGTTTGTGGCTGAGGTGACTGGCAATATTTTGCTTTTCTGAGTCCTCGTGGGTGGGGACAGAGCACTCCTTCACTGTGGGAAGAGAAGATAAGTAGAGCAACAGACAGCAGTGCTGTAAGTATTTTCCCAGTTTTGGCAGAAAGCTATCATTAACGCCTTTTTTCTCTTTACAGCATGCAAGGAAACTGCTGCTTTTTCCATTGTTACTCTGGTTTTAAATGTAATGTGAAGTACTCCATACCACACCCACCAGGAAAGCACATCAAAGGCTAAACGATAGGCTGGTAACTGGCTTACTTATAGGCTGTGCTGTTAGCATTGAGTTGTGGCTTTTGGACTGTAAAAGATGCTCTTATCTTTTTTCTGCATAAAACTTACCATGTCTGAGTCCTTCTTCATCTGGAGTAAGCACATTTCTGAGGTTCCACAGGAAGATTTTTGTGGATGCTCAAGGCAGCATGTGTTCACATGCATCTGTATGTTAATTAATCATCAATTTTATATCAGTTGTTGCTGGAAGGAATTGGTTGTGCAAGTGTTCAGAGACCTCAGTTACCTGCACAGTTATTTTTTCAGGTGTGTTACAGTTTTCATCATGTTCTCCTGTCTCTGAAGGTTTTGAGAGCTACTTGTTTTGCTTACACCAATGAGAAAAACGTGTCCTGCAGAAAGCTTGTGTAGCTAAGTAGTACAGCTCACAAAACTAAAAGCTTTGAGGTTTCTCTTTTTTTGGGAAGCAACTTGATACTATCACTTGTACCAATTGTGCTGTATGCCAGAATTAATGGGTATTTTCTATTG